TAAATCAGCGAACGACACGAAGTTTCTGCCTTTGTGGAACTTACTCTCTGGTGAGAAGACTCGAGAAGGCGTGAGAAGGTGATCCGTGGTAAGCGGAAAAGACAAGTGTGGTAGGAACGAGTGGGAAAGCAGTGAGCGGGTGCAGGTTGTTGAAACACCGAAGAGGGTGTGCAGGGTGGTTCTGAGATGCAGCAAAGCAACGACTTGGGAGGGCCGTAGCCAAGCCGGCACCTAAAATAGGGCTTCTTGTTACTCTCGGTCTTTAAATACCAAGCAAGAGGCAATCAGCGCGCTTTCTCTGAACGATGTGAGGGAACTTTGAACCTACTCGGAAGTGCAAAAATAAGCAAATGCATTTCATCCCTCCGCCCAAGAGCTCAACATCACTTTATGCAAGTTTTAGGTGCTTACGTACCTCTCTACCAAAATCCTAAAGGTCCAAAACGAACAGCCTTACCATGTCAAAAAGAGAACTGTCAAAACAAACGGTCCAACACATCGCTGGACATACACCAGAACGACTGAGGCCTTTCGTTAGCCACTGTTGAAATATATGCACACCTACACGATGGCATATTGAAAATGTCACCTACTGCTAGCAGGGATCACCTCCTGCTACTTCGAACTATGAAAAGAATCTGCACGTCTATATTTATAAAGTACCCGAGGGCCTGTAGTGTAAGAATAATCATTTTAAAAGGTGGGCAAAAAAAAAAAAAAAAAAAAAAAAAAAATGGTCCTGGGACCTAACAGGGTAATTAGGCTGACGGGAACCACAGTCTCTCACAGCTTTTGAGACAGGTACGCCTATGTTTGTGTTTCTGGGGTTTGGGTTTTTTGTTTTGTTTTGTTTTGGAGCATGTATCCAAAGAGCTGAGAAAGTTCCAGAGCGCAGAGTCAGCAGCAAGGGAGCGTGCCACAGGCTACAGGTGACCAAACTGCAGACCTAACACAGTAATCTCCAGGTAAAACAGCAAGGCGGGTGAGGAGGTGGGTAGCACACAAGGGCCAGGCACAGCTGAGTTACTCAGGGTTACACTGAAGTGACAACCCGGGGCTCAGCCACCCGAGGCCAGTTTCAGAAAACAATTTGTGGTTTTATGCAGGAGAAGGGGGAAAAAAAAAAAAGAGGAAGGCTTGGAGCCTGCGCAGAACTGTCAGAGTAATAAATATTCAAAAGAAAACACGAATAGTGTATTAAGTTTCGTAGCGTCGAGGTGCCTGGGTGGCTCAGTCGGTTGAGCGTCGGGTTCCGGCTCAGGTCCTGATCTCGCGGTTCGCGTGTTCGAGCCCCACCCTGGGCTCTCTGCTGTTAGCTCCAAGCCCACTTCAGATCCTCTGTCTCCCTCTCTCTCTGCCCCTCCCCCACTCGCACTCTCTCTCCCGCTCTCAAGAATAAACACTAAAAAAATAATAAATTTTATTGAAAAACAAAAACAAGTTTCGCGAACACTGGATGGAATCAACTGCTCGGCTGGTTTATTTTCCAGAAGTGAAGAATCTGTTCACTACAGCAAAGGGAAAAAAAAACAATTCTGCCCTACGGGGGGAAAAAAAATGCTATGAACCAGTGCAGTCTGCCACTCAGAAGTGGTGTTTTTTGTTTTTTGTTTTTCTAGTTGCTACCCACACAGGGTAAGAGCCGTACTGGGTCATGCTGTACCTGGATGGCACAGGCATTATTTGGTGATGGGGGGAATAAACCTCCATTTTTTTTTCTTTTCTTTCTTTTTTTTTTTTACTTTGTATAAGGAGAATTGACTGTAAATTTTGTCCACTGGGAAACCTGCAACAGTGAAGTAAGAAACCATTAATAAATCAGGACGATGCACGTAAATCAGGGCTATCCTTGAGAAACCCATGGCGCGGCTCACCGGACATGCTAGGATTTGAGATCTTCCAAAACACAGGGCAAAAGCAAAGGACTCCCTCATCTCTGATGCTAATGCCATCCTGGTCTCCAAGGGAAGAATGGGCTTTTTGACACACCATTCAACCTTGGTCTCCAGAAAAAAAGCATCAGGGTAAGTCAATCTTACCTGGGACAGGAGGCCAAGGGAATGAGAAGACATTTCCTGAACTATTTTCAGTTCAAGACCGACAGGACAGCCTGAGGGCCCAGAGCAGCTTTAAAGCTTTGCTGGCAGGGAAACACTGGAGGCACGCTTGAGAGATACTCTTCGGGAAACAGCATCACACCCAATCACGGCACTGCAACGCCTCTGAACCTAGCTACGATTCAACTTTACGGAACTATAAAATCAGAGGGTTGGTCTAAAATGGTATGTAACGGGGGCGCCTGGGTGGCTCAGTCAGTTAAGCGTCTGATTTCAGCTCAGGTCACGATCTCGCGGTTCAGGAGTTCGAGCCCCGCGTCGGTCTCTGTGCTGACAGCTCGGAGCCTGGAGCCTGTTTCGGATTTTGTGTCTCCCTCTCTCTCTGACCCTCGCCTGCTTGCACTCTGTGTCTCTCAAAAATAAAAAAAAAAAAAATGTTTTTTTAATGGTATGTAATGTCCCAAATTTCTTCCACCAGGCATATCCAGGTAAACAGACTGAACTAAAAGGCCACCTCCGGAAGAACCTCCAAACTTAACTACTACTTTAGTTTAGCAATGGCCGAGTCTCCTGCAGTACAGGAACTATTCCCAATGGACTATTCCCAATGCGTATGGGGAACTGGGGTCTGACACGTATTTCCTTGCTTTTAAGCATTCACCATAGGGGCGCCTGGGTGGCTCAGTCGGTTATGCATCCGACTTCGGCTCAGGTCACGATCTCACGGTTTGTGAGTTCAAGCCCCGCGTCGGGCTGTGTGCTGACAGCTCAGAGCCTAGAGCCTGCTTGATTCTGGGTTTCCCCCTCTCTCTCTCTCTGCCCCTCTCCCACTCG